GTGGGTCGGTGGAAGAGGCATGAACTTAGCATTCATGAGGCTCTGGGTTCCATCTCTACCCAGCACCAGGAAAAGAAGTGTTTTGCGTTGCCCCTTTCCCATCTTGAAGTGAAATTCCTAGGTAATATGACTTATTTACACACACAAGTTCAAAAAAAAAAAAAATCAGTATCCTAATCTTGTCATATGAAGAAAAAATAAAGGGAAAGTCATTTAGGAGAAAATTATAGGTGTGTTGGTAAGTGCAAGCAAACAAAAATTTCCTAGGGTCCTGGCCCTTGGCCCCCACCCACTCCAGGGCATCTCTGTAGCCCTCCTCCTGCTTTCCTGTGTCACCAATGGCTCTGAAGCCTAGCACCATGGTATTTCTTCCATCTTAAAATCTAAATACTCTAGCTTCTGCCCAGCTACTGCTCATTCATTTCCTTCCCTTTTCAGCAAAATTTCTCAAGAGAATTGTCTAAACGCGCTGCCTCCAGGTTGCCCTCCCGGTTTCCCCTCCACCCCTTCTCCAGTTTTCATCCTGGCCTCTCTTCATGGACACCTTTTGTTGCATTCATCAGGGGCCTCTGTGGTGCCAGGTCTAATGGACTTGTCAGCCCTCAGCAGCAGCATGGGACAGCCCCTCCCTGTTTCTTGAAACTTTTTCTTCCTCAGGCTTTCAGACCAACACATTTGTCTGGTTTTTTCCTATTCTTTTTGCTGCATCTTCCCTGTAGCATCAGGGATTGAGCCCAAGATTTTCATGCTGAACTTCATCCCTAGAATTTTATATCTTATATTTTGATTTTTTTAAAGACAAAATCTCACTATATAGGCCAGGCTGGCCTCAAACTCATGGCAATCCTCTTGCTTTAGCTGCATAAATACTAGGACTACAGGGATGTATCAGCTAGCTATTATTCCGTATTTTAAGACAAGGTCTCTCTAAATCACTGTTACCCTGGCTGGACTAGAATTTGTGTTCCTCACGCCTCATTCTCCCAAAGGGGTGGGATTAAAGCCAGCCTTGCACCACCACACCCAGTTTCTGGTCCACTTTCATCTCTTGCCTGGACTATGGAAGTAGCGTCCTACCCCTTGATGACTGCTTTTCACACAACTGCCAGAGGGATCCTCATAAAACCAGTCAGATGACATCCCTAGGGCAGGGGGTGTAACTCAGATGTCAATGACAGGTGAGACCAAGTTCCAGCCCTACAGCGAGTGCGAGCGCGAGTGAGAGAGAATAGCCCTCTTCTCAAAAATCCCCCATAGGGGCCGGGGAGATAGCTCAGTAGAATAAGTGCTTGCCTGGTAAGCACACCTGAGTTCAATCCCTGGTTCCGCAAAAAAAAAAAAAAAAAATCTCCCATAGTTTCCACATTGTTTGGGTAAAAGCCAAAGTTCTTACACTGACCTTTATAACTAAAATTTTCTATACCATCCCTCACTATCCTCTTTGGCTTATTCCACCCCAGTCCCCTTAACTTTCTTTCCCTTTTTTGTGATTCTGTGAATGATCCTGCCTCAGGGCCTTGGCATGGGTTGATCCCTCTTTCTGGAAGCTTCTTTCCATCCTAATCTCCTCACTCCTTCTTTCACCTCTCTGTTCAAACAGATGGAAGAGGCCTTTTTCCATCTGAAATAATTCTGACACCATCATTCCATCTTGTTAGCTTGCTTTCCCCACCCATGATCCTCAGCAGGTTACACTGGATTTCCTTAGTTATTGTGTGTGACTCTCAAGTAGAATAGAAACCTCACAAAGCCAGGGAATTTGTCTTCCCTGTGGATTGCTGATTTGCTAGCACCTTGGGCAGAACCTGGTACTCATTGCATACCCAAGAACTCATTCACACAAAAGACTGCACCAGCATTGGTGGAGTACCACCATTCTATACAGCATCCTAGTTGTTTACATGTCAGGGGTAGTAGATGGGATTTGTCATCTCCTCCACCCCGTGTTGGTGAGGCCAGGCTCTACTGGCTTCTCTCTGTCTGCCTGTCTGTCTCTCTGTCTCTCTCTCTCTGTCTCTGTCTCTGTCTCTCTCTCTCTCTCTCTCTCTGTCTCTGCCCCTTCTCAGTCTTCTCTGAGATTGTCCATTCTTTACCTCCAATCCAGCGTCCTCCACTTTTAAGGGTTCTGTCAGCCTTGTCGCCCTCCATTCTTCCTACATCCCCAGGCTAGGTCACTAGTGCCCACAGCATCAGTTACCATCTTCAATGATCTGTAAGCCTTGGTCTCCAGTCCCAATTTCTCTCTTAAGGTCAGGCCTCCCTGCAGTGGAGCCTCTGCACCTTGCTGCTGGACATCCCACTCTGGGCTTCTCTTCGGCCCAATCTCCCAGTCAGAGGTTCTGTTCTGGAGTTTTCCTCTCTCCCTCTGGCTTCCAGGTCCAGCCAGTCTCTACACTAGTTCGGTCCTCCGCCAGGGCATCCTTCCCACCCACACCTCCTCCCCTTCTCTCAGCCCCGCCCTGGGGCAAACCTTCTCCCTCACCTCTCCTTCCCAGCAGCCTCCCTGTATTCCTGGCCTCTAGTTTCACAGCTCCCAGTCTATCCTCCAAAGATAAGCCAGAGACATCTCTCCAAAACCCCCAACTCCCCAGCACCCTCCCAGTCTTGACTCCCTTACACGGGTCCCTCATGCCTTCAGCACAAGTCCAAACTCCCTCCCCGGCCAGATGTTTGGCCGAAAGCTCATTCTCACCACACCCTGTCTTGAACACTCCACCCAGACTGCCGAGGTCTGAATTCCTGTAACAAGTATTGTCACTGTCACCTGTGCAGGACCACTTCCGATTAGTTCACCTGATCCAGGACGGTTTATGGACTAGAGTACAATGAAAGTCAGAACGACAACTCCCATTTATTGACAGCCTCCTTTGTGCCGATTGCTGTACATGCCCCCCCCCCATCCTAAAGGTCCATCTCCCCTCCCTATCAGGGTCTCATCTGACAGCGAGCGGCTCAGAGAGTGTCGCGGAGGGACGCTGGACGCCAACAGCCCGAGTGAGGGCAGACACGCTGTCCCAGGAGAGTCGAGAGCCGGGCCTGGCCAAGGCCCTGGGTGGGGCGTGGCAGAAGGGCGGGGAGGATCAGGCCTGGAACGCTAGAATGAGGAATTGTGACTTAGTTTGCGGCCTCTGAGGCAGACAGGCGCGAGACTGCCCCCTGCGGGCCTGGAGGCCCAATTGCGGCCTCCACCCGGCCCGTTGCCCTAGGCTACGCAGCGCGAGCCCCACCCCTTCCCCTCCCGCCGCTAGAGCCCCAGGTCTGGCCAACAGCCCGTCACCCCCACTCCTAACCAATCCCACTGAGGAGGGGGCGGGCCTCTTGGGCCTCGTTCCAGCCCAGTCGCTCCCCTCCCGGCCAGGACCCCGCCTTTCTCGACGCACACCTCCCGCCCTTCGGGCTGTCCTCGCTGCCTATTGGCTGCTGTGCCGTTCGTCATCTAGGTGTAAGCTAATGCAGACGCGCGGAGGCCCCTGTAGGGGAGGGGGCAGGGGCGGTGACGCACGGCGCCGTGACGCAGCGCGACGGCGGCGGCGGCGGTGGCGGCGGCGGTGGTCGGTGCGGGCGGAGGTAGGGGAGCCCTCGGGCCAGAGAGGGGGCGACTGGGGCGCCAGCGGCCTGAAGAGGCCCGGGCGGTGGCGGCGGCGGCGGCGGCAGAGGAGGAGGCCGAGGTGGTGAGCTGGGGCCAGGTTGAGCTGGGCGGGCGCAGGGCGGCGGCGGGTCGGGGCGCACGGGGCTCCCCTCAGGGCGACCCAGGCCGCACGGGCGGCCCCGCCCCCTCAGGGACCCCGAGCCGCAGGCAGTGGCGGGTGCGGAGCACGGACCTCACAGCTCAGGACCGCGAAAGAGCCCCACACCCGGCCCGGCTCGCCCTTGCGGCCCCTTTGGGAACTTCCCTCCGAAACCCTCCTCACACCCTTGGTATCGCAGAGGGGCTAGGCCGTAGATCTCCCCCTTGAATCCGCACACATCTGCCTCGCAGCTCCCGAAACATTCACGATGTACGTCTGAGAACCCCCGAAACTGCTGTCCTCTTAAGCCGCCTTCTCCAGAGACCTTCATGTCTCCCTACAGTTTTTTACCCATAGACCCCCGCCCTTAAGACCCAACAGACCCCTCCATCCGTTTCCAGTATGAAAAAATACTCCGCGGAGGCCGCTCCTTTTGTATCCTAGATCTCCCCCAGGAACCTCCCTGCTAAGCCCTCAAAAGCTCCCTCTGAGGCTCCCTGAAATCACCCCCAGCTCCCTGGACACCCCAGAAATCTCTAAAGACGAGCTTTGCATATCCAGTCAGTCTCCCCCAGACTTCTCCCTCACAAATCCCAAGTATTTTCCTTCCCACCTACCCTCTTCCGAAAAATCTTTTAGAGATTTTTAGTTCTAATCCTCCCAAATCCTTTAGAATACCTGTGATGAACCCTACTGTCTTCATTGAAGATCTTCCTATGTTCTCAAGAGGAGAGTACTCTTACTCAGAGACTCTCACAGTGACCCCAGATCACAAAAATTCACCAAGGACAGCCTCACAAACACTACCCTATTGGCAGTCATCTCCAGTACACACCCCTTTTTAAAAACTCCTCTGGACCTTTGCACAGATTTCAAAAATCTCTCCCAGAGACCTCACCTTTCCCCAAACTCCCCTCCCGGAAATGCTCTAGAAGTAATCCTCAAGTACCCTAACAGTCTTGCCAAGACCTCTTCCCATCCTAAAAGTCTCCAGAAATTGCTTGAAATCACTAGAAAACTCTTCTTCCATAGTCCAAAAGCTTCTTCCAAAATTCCTTTTGTGAATCTGAAGCTTTTCTGGTAACCCACACACCTCAAAAAAATTGGATAAGAAGCCTAAGAAGTTCCCTTGTAGTGTTATATTCTCTAAAACTCTTCTTAGACAACTTGGAATTTCCCCTTTGTAGACTTATTTTAGATAAATTAATGCAGAGATCCTCCTCATTACCCTTATAAGATCTCAAAGTTCTCCTCATTACTCCTCCAAGGTGCAGTTTTCCAGATTTCACATCAGAGACCCCAGCTGCCATCTGAAACTCTCCAGAGTTGGCCATCAGAGTCCAAGAGAAGCCCCTCAGATTCCCCTGGAGCCCCTTGAGTCAGAGAGCTCTGCCTTACTAAGAGACTTTTCTTAGTAATAATGTATCCTAATAGGTTGCCCCAGTTCTTCAAGATTCCCCTGTAAAAGATTACACACATACTTACTCTTCCCTCAACTCTGAGCTTCTGTTAGAATCCCAGAATTGTTTCTGAAAAACCTTGTATTCTGACATTCTCAGGACCCCTAAAAAATATCTTTCTCCTTCTGCCCATATATATGATCTTTATTCAGAGATTTCTCCTCATCAGAGATCTCTAAGGAGATTTTTGCGCAGAGACCCTTCTGTCATCATATTCCAATATACCAAGACATCTCTCAAAAGATCACACCTTGGCCAGACACCCCTTAGAGAATTTTCTTCCAAATTGTCCTGCATCAGCAATACCTAGCACTTGCTTAGATTTCCTGAGAACAGGGGCCAGGGAGATAGCTCAGTAGAATAAGTGCTTGCCTGGTAAGTGCAAGGGCCTGAGTTCAATCCCCAGTTCTGCCAAAAAAAAAAAAAAAAAAAAAAAAAAAAAGTTGTTGACTTGAGATTTTCCCCATTCTCATTCCTCTGAAATCAACTGGGACACCCTTCTGAGTTCTGAGCCTCCTTCCCTCATTATGTCTTCAGAGATCATGCATCCTCCAGATTTCTCTCCTTGAGACTCTTGTCTCTTTATTATTATTTACAGTATTAGAGATCGTGCTCAGAGGTAATCTACCACAGAGCTACATCCCCAACTCTTTTTATTTTTTGAGACAGTTGCTCTCAGTTTGCCCAGGTGAGATTGTAATATTGTAATACTACTTCCTCAACCTCCTTCATAGCTAGTAGCTGGGGTTACAGGTGTGCACCACCTGGATTTTATGCATGGCTTCTCTCTCCTTTTAAAGATCCTGGGGGCCGGGGAAATGGCTCAATGGAATAAGCGCTTCCCTGGCAAGCACAAGGACCTGAGTTCAATTCCTGGTTTCACCAAAAAATAATAATAATAAAATAAAAAATCCTTCACAACCATGCCCTGTGAAAATACTGTTGCGCACTTTTCTCTCAGACCCTTTTCTCTGAAGTCCTACCCTCAAAAAGCTCTCTTGCCTTTAGTAGTAAGAGACCACTACTATCCTGTTTAGAGACTTCCTAAGGACTGTATTCATTTTTCTTTGAAAAGCTTTTCACTTTTGAGGGCTCCACAACAGTGATTCTGAATATGTTCCCTGGGCCACAATAGCAGCAACATTTGCTAGAAATGCAGATTCTTTGATCCCACCCAGACTTACTGAACCAGAAAACCTGGAAGCAGGGCCTGGCAACCTGAGTTTTTAATAAACTTTTTTTTTTTTTTTTTTTTTTTTGTACCTGGCATCAAACACAGGACCTTGCAGTTGCCAGGCAGGCACTTTTGCTGTTGAGCTATCTTACCAGCCTAAACCCTCTTATAATTCTGATCCATGATCAATTTTGAGAGTCACTGCCTTCCTGGGAAGATTTCCCTTTCCCCCACAAAAAGTCCCCTAAAAGATGCCTCTAGGTATACCTTTGAGCCCTTCTACCCAACCCCCTTATTCCTGGGGGGTTCCCCCTTTGTGAAGTACCCGTCTTTCAGAAAGACTTATTCTTCAGAGGAAATTAATTTCTCCACTAGGTGACTACATTTTCTGAGTAATTACAACATTCTGCCTTTGAATGGTTCCCTTTCAGATCTCTCTTAGCACTTTCTCCTTCTGGTTTCCCCTTGACCCTTTTAGGCTGCCTCCTAGCACTTTGGTGCTTCTGCTTTAAAATGCTAGTCCTTGTACACAGCTCTCTCTTAGCCCTTTATCCAATCCTCTCTACCTAAGCATCCTCCCCTTGAGGCATCTTCAGGTCTCTTGATTCTTAACTGCCAAGTGCTCTCCATTGTATTTCCTCTGGTACCACTCCCCTTACCTGCTGTTTGTGGTGCTGGGGAATAAACTCAAGGGCAGTCTCACTCACTGAACTACATCCCTAGTGCTTTCATTTAAGACAGTTTTAACGTTTCCCAGACAGGTCTTGAATGTGAAATCCTCTGGCCACAGTCTCCCAAGTAACTGGGATTACAGATGTGTTCCACTGTACTCAACTCCCTAGTAGTTTTTTATGTACTTGCCCACTTACACTCATTGGGTGTCTCTGAGTCTGTGAGGTAGAATCTATCTACTTGGGAATCATTGAAGAATGATTCCACAAGTTTTCCAAATCTTACTCATTCAGGTTCAGCACATATTACTCCCTCCTCTCCTCTTTCCTTCCACCTCTTTTTAGTTCCCTCATTTCTCCTGCCCCACTTGCTTTCATGTATGGGAATTTTCTTTATGCTCTTTCCTGATTCTGAGCTACCCCAAGTTCTATTCCTATTGACCTGTTTCACCTATCCTGATTTGCTTCTCAGCTCCCTTCAGCCTTGGTAAGTTTGGGGCCTTCACAAAGCTCTCAACATTTTCTAAGAGATTCTTTTCCTCTCTAGGGCTCAGAAGAGGAGACAGAGACCCTTTGGTAAACACTAGGGTCTACCTTTAGGAAGCTCACAGTCCAATAGAGGGCTTGGGCAAATATACCAGGCATAATATGAGATACAGAGGATATGCTGTGGTGATTCAGCAGTGACAAGAACCCTTTATTTGGAAAGACCTCACAGAAAAGGTGGTGTTTGAGCTGGGTGGCATTCCATAGGAGTTAAGACAATGATGCAGTGCCTCCCAGGTGCAGGAAACTAAGCAGTGGGTCAGAGACAAGAAAGCCACCTCATCTCTTACCAGTAGTATCTCTTCTATTCATTTATGGATAGAGGTGGAAGAGGACATCACTTTCATTTGCCTGGTATTTTCCAGCTCAATTATTTAGTAGTCCAGAGAATAATAATAGTAATAATGACTACTGTTTTGTTGAATGTTTACTCTCTGCCAAGCATGGTTTAAGTGCTTTATGTGTGTGATCTATCTCACATCATAAGAACACTGTAGGTAAAACTATTATTTTCATTTTACATAGGAAATGGAGGACAGGTAGAATTACTAGAAGGTCTGTGTGCCCTGTCCATTCCAGTATTATAGCACTATGGATCAGAGAATTAGATTTTCTCTTCAGGATTGGGAGCAATGAGGCATTATAGTGTGATTAGGTGTGTAGGTTGTAGGATCAGAAAGGATTTGCACCCCACATCATTCTCTTACCAAGTTGGTGACCCAGGAAAGTTACTTACTGTAGCTATAAGTTTCCAGAGCTAAATAATGAAGCTAAAATCAGACATGATAGTGCATGCCTATAATTCAAGTGATTCAGGAGGCTGAGGCAGGAAAAGCATGAGTTTGTGCCCAACCTGAACAAATTTGACTTTTGTCTAAAAGATATAAAGGGGATCAATGTGTAGCTTAATGCAAAAGCCCTAGATTCAACTATACACACAAAAATATGATGACATTCTATTTCAAAGAACTGTTATGAGGACTATATAAGACAAAGTACACTACTTAAAACCTTGCAATGAAGTGCCAAGTATTAACAAAAGGTAGCTTCTAACAGCCAAGATTAGTGCATAAGTGGCAGAACGTCAGCTCT